AAATTGTCACGTATCATAGTATATTGTCATGTTTCATGGTATATTGTCATGTATCATAGTATATTGTCATGTTTCATAGTATATTGTCATGTTTCATGGTATATTGTCATGTATCCTAGTATATTGTCACGTATCATAGTATATTGTCATGTTTCATGGTATATTGTCATGTATCCTAGTACTAGTATATTGTCATGTTTCATGGTATATTGTCATGTTTCATAGTATATTATCATGTTTCATAGTATATTGTCAAAGATCTTAGTATATTGTCATGTATCTTAGTATATTGTCATGTATCATAGTATATTGTCATGTATCATAGTATATTGTCATGTTTCATAGTATATTGTCAAAGATCTTAGTACATGTATATTGCTATGTACCATAGTATGTTGCCATGTTTCATAGTATATTCTGCATCATATTTCTAATTTACTGCCATGGCCAGGTTTTAACACGTGAGTGATGTCATTACCATTACTATTGGAAAACAGGAAGTGATCTGTTGAGATGCATCATGGGAATTAGCAATGCTGACTCAAGGCCAGATTATAATTTGTTCTTTTGTTTTTTAATTAGTCACTTGTCAGTGAGGAGTGGTTGTCACAGATGATGGCTTTTGTGGTGAGTTGATTAATTTACGTTGAGCTTCACTTTTAATATCACAGTTAGAAACTCATACTTTCTCGCAGTCGGCAAAAATAAATATCGTTTTTACCAATATTGGTAAGAATTGTTATATTCTGCTGTTCTATAGTGAGTAACATAGGTCAGGGATTTTTTTAAACAAGGGAACAGAGGCGCAGCGCCCTCATACCATGGCCATGCGCCCCCTTACCCTGGGGAGCAGATCCTCTGCCAACCATACAATTCTGATTGACCAGGGATCACATGTGGCCATAGTCTTCAACTGTGACCTGTCTTATAGTAATTTTGGCCCCAAGGAAGCCATAGAATGCTCTATTTTAACTTAGAATTATCAAAAACTTCACACTCTTGTAGGGAGAACCCTATCTTCCCCACTTGGTGGCACCACTGAATTGCAGTGCTTCCTCTTGCAGTTTTTTTCCTAGAAAAAACCCTGTAAGTAATAAAGCAAATAATAAGTTGAAATTATAGATGAAAATGATACTCACTTTAACAAAAAAAAGTTTTAGGAAGTTTTTATGAAAAGGCAAAAACAGCAATATTAACAATTTGTTCACACCCACAATAACACGGTGAAATATTTTTCGTCCATAATTGTTTAAAAATTGTTATTTTCAGAAATATCAGACATCAACGACTAGAAAAAAAATTGCCAAGGATGAAGAAAATGATGCGCTTAATGAAGTCAAAGACGCGAATCGCCAGAAAACGCAACATACAAGTCAATGTAGTTGGAATGTACTGCCTGTTGACAAGAATATATCACGCTGTCACAAATGTGGTCAGACGTTTAAAAGAAAGATTTATTTAGAAATTCACATGAAGAGTCACAAAACAGCGGGTGTGCATCCGTGTATCAAATGTCCACAAATTTTTAAAGCGGAGTTAGCGCTAGATTACCACTGGGAAGCCGAACACGGAGGATGTGTTCGCGAGGTCGTTAAATGTCAGCATTGCGGTCTGGCGTTCAATGATCAAGCTCTTTGTGAGGAGCATGAGGGTAGACACGTGTGTACGTGTAAGAACAAACACAGCGATTGGAAATACGACATAGAGGTCGAGAAAACATTGAGGCCGCTCTTGAAGAGTCGTCAAAGTCCGGACAGGAAAAGGAATCAAAGTCCTGATGGAACGAAAACAAGTCCAGTTTGGCGATTCCGATGCGATGTCTGTGGGGATATGTTTAAAGAGCTTGGGCGATTGGAGACTCATATGCAACAACATAGCTCGTTCCCGTGCACGCAGTGTCCGAAGTTGTTCACTAACAAAATATCACTGAAAATCCACTGCAAGAGCTGCCATGTGAAAACAGTGCAATGTAAGTGCTGTGGACAGACGCTACCACAATCACATAACCGCCGAAAGAGTGCATGTATTTCTTGTGAGTCAAATTCTTTTAGGTTTACAAAAAAGCGTGCAAAGCAGCGGAACACCGATGACAGACCTAGACAGAGGAACGAATTCTCTATGAATAACGAGAAATCATCTTTTTATCAGGGGATGTTTACATAGAGTTAGATAAATTGACT